ACACCTCACCAGATAAGCATTCAATATGATTCACAAGAAAAAAAGAGAAGAGCCAATAACATTATTTTTTTTAAAAAAATGAAATAAGATTTAAAAGCCATTAATGCAGAGCACAATGGCTGCTGGTCTTGCCATTCTAAATCATAATGCCCTTTAAATAAAGGATACTGAATAAAAACTGTGGTTTGTTTTGAGATTCTATTTTCATTTTTTCATATGTTCTGACAAAAGATTCTTGCTTCTTATATTCTTCCACCTTTTTTCTCTTTCATCCAGTGGCAATTTCAAAGAACCAATAATATATATAGTTTCCTTTGGCTTATGCTAATTTGGTTTACCCAAAAGAAAAAAGGGAGGGAAGGGGCTAATATGTGATTTGTTTCAACTTAGTCAATTTGCACCAAAAGTCTAGAAATATGCCAAGACATTTCCCCCCATCAAACCAATCTCTGTTCTTATTCATATGTTTACCATTATGTTATGAAGTTGCTCTAGTTGTACGTTATGTCTCCCGCTAATTGCAGTTCTTTGCCTACAATAGCCATTACTGTTACTATGGGGTAAAGATGGCCAATGGCTTCTTGTCCAAGGAAGGCCCTTGCCTAAAATGAAAAAGAAAAGTGTTAGAAACATGTTTATTATACTGTAGTGTGACAAAGCTAAATGAGCCATAGCCCCCGGGAAAGCTTTTAACTTGAGCCAACCTACAAGTACACTACCACAAAAATGCTAATAAAATCCATAGTGCTATAATGCCTTTTTTTGTATAATAATTATGTGCATTTGAAATCCAACTATAATAAATGTGAAGAAAATATTTTTGCTATATACAGAACATGAGACAAAGAAGAAAACATGTTTAAGTAATGTAATGCTTAAGTTCATAGCTCTAAAAATTTATAAGCACACTTGTAAATTCATTTGGTTTACAAAATTTTACACCATATTTGACAACTCCTTTTCCCCCCACTATCTAATTTATGCAAATTCATTTTATACAAGATTTTGGGGAAATATAAACAGACCATAAAACAAGGGAAAGCTGTATATGATTACATCTTTTTGTACTCAAATTGCAGATGTCTGTCTGTCTGTCTGTCTGTCTGTCTGTCTGTCTGTCTATCTATCTATCTATCTATCTATCTATCTATCTATCTATCTATCTATC